TTTTTTTTTTTTTTTTCATTTTTTTTTTATTAGTAATTTCGTGCTTGTGCTAGAGAATTGACTCTTCTCTCGGTTAGGTTGACATCTTTCTTCAATTTGGGTACGGTAGATCGACGAAATACGAGTCGTGTTCTTCGTAGTAAAAGAATTAATTTTTATAATTTTGTGTAGATTAACTTCCGGACGTATTTAGGGCCAGCGTCCGTGTTTTCGTAACGATCCGCGGACGGGCTCGTCGACCTTCCGTGTTCTAGTATAATATAAATATATAATGTAAGAATGTAACTTAAGTTTTAATTGTATTATTGTAATTTTCTCTGTGTCGAATCGATTTGTATATTTTCTATATATGTATCCTTTTAAGAACTTTTATCCTTGAAGACCACGAGCGTTTGATACTAGTTGGGGGGGGGATCGAACGGCTGCTGATGATTAGTACTAAAAGAAACAACAAAAAAATAAACACACACATATACAAAACTTTGTAACAAAATGACCAAAGTTTCAAAAGAGAGAAGTTTATAGAAAAACGGTATGATGTTTTGGGAACGCGCATAATCCTCTTCCGTGGTCGGTGCGTTCCGCTGAATTTTTCACAGAAACATACGGAACTGTGTTTGGTTTGGTGCAGGCGCTGGAAAATTAATGCGTGAACGTTTTTTTCTTTCCCCCGCGGAACAAAGTAAAATACTTTTTATTCTCCGACGACCATTCGAACGTGTAAATTTTCCCGCGCTAATACAATTAATTCAATGTAATCTAGTTATTTAACTAAGTAAATATTTCATAGAGGCGTCCAGTTTTTATCCGTTACGTTTCTACTCCTTTTTTTTTCTTTCGTTCTTCAATTCTTTTCATTCTGCAACCTCCTTCGTAGGTAGCGTTTGAAGCGATTCTTAGCATGACCAACCCGACACGTATGGTTTTTATATAACATATATCGTGGAGAGAGAGGGCCAACGGGAATCGGAATTAAATTCGATCTCTTGAGTCGTGTCTGCTTGCACTTAAACACAAGGCTGTTCTATATTTTACTTATATAATACACGAAATATCTGTAAAGGACATTTACACATTTTCGTCGCTGTAACGGAAATTACAAGCAGACCTCTATCAATCTGTACTCGACCCGATGGAATATGAGGGGGGGGGGGGGGGGAAAAAATACGCATCAAAAAAAAAAAAATGACGAGAGAGAAACCGTTTGTGTAATCGGAACATTGAATCATTGTATAATTTCTTACCACCAGATTGCCTGTCACTGAATTCCCTGGACAGAAAATAAATGCCTGTCTTATAAAAGACTATCTTTGCGTGTCATCTTGTCAACTGAACGGAAAACTGCGTGTGTAACGGCCATCCGAATTCTGTAGAGAAGAACAGTCACGATATTGGAGGCGGCATTGGAACTGCCCTAATTAGTTTTACACATGGAATTTGTTTTCCTCGTTCTTCCTGTCGGCGCACGTGTTTTTGTTGACCGTAATGTGAAACCCAGCTTCCAGCCACTTTACGTGGGAGTCATCGCAGCCAACCGCACAAGCGCATTCTACTACAGTGGTTGGGCAGGAAGCATTAAGTGTTTCGTTGACCACACTATTATCGGGAAGTTACAGTTCCTGGCTATATTGATATGACCGTTTAAAAATTTTGATAGAAAAACAAACCGTTTTACTATTAAATGGACAAAGAATGTGTAGGGTAAACCAAAAGAAGACACGTGGAAAATTATATTTTCTTCAGCTGTCGTACACAGTATATGATCAATGATATTCAATTCTGAATTCACTAGATCTACTGAGAACACTCGAAACATGAAAAAATTGAAATTTATAACAAAAACATGGATCAGCAAAACACATCCTAAGGCTTTCCGTGAAATTGTACGGACCTTGTACACAAATGTGACCACCAGGTCCGAAAGGATTGCAAATCTAATATACAGTAAATCCCTGATGATTGTTCAAAGGCTGTTCGGCATTGAACATTAAATATTTCATAAACTAATGGCCGTATGGGCCTGAAACAAATATCATTGGCACTAGAATTCTAAGCTCTATCGTGTTAAACCTCATTAAAAAATCAGTGTTACACCTGGGGGGGGGGCGAAGACTCATCGAGGATTTACTGTACATTGAGCCTCTTAATCCTTAAGCTACCACCCCCAACTTTTCTCCCGTTCCGTTATTTTTACACGATTAAATGCGTTCTATCTCTCATGTATTTCCCCGTGATTCCTGTTTGTCATGTGTTATTGTCCATTAACTTGTTCTTCTGTTTTTCACTGCACAGCAAAATGCGCGCACATCGTCGCTGCAACTATGCTCCGTGTTCGACCCTGTGATCGGATCGGATGTACGTGCAGTTCACATGTGTGTGGGGTATTTGGGGTAACAGGAGGGGGCGGGGTTAACGCGCACAGTGCCCGGGGGGCAAGAGGGAATCCTGGAGGAAACGGAGGAAACCGCAGAGAGTCAGTGGCTTAGTCATTCATAAATAAGCCGCCGGTGCGGTCGGAGCACAGCGCCCGCGGCTACTTTCAAGTTAATCAACGTTGTGTAACGATTCACCGATAACGGGGCGGGTGGGCGCGCGCGTAGCGACGCGTGTGTGTGTGCAGCATGGCTGCACGAAAGAAAGAGGAGCCGTCGAAACAGCGGTATCAAGCGAACGCACGCGAAAGGGACCGCACTCATAGGTGATAATTACTTTTTTACTTTTTGTTCCTTTTTGTTTGTAGGGTAAACGCACCAATGAATGAACACTTGAGAGATTGTTAGTAATTAATACTATTAAAGTCGTATTTTAAATGATGATAATAATTGGCACGTGAAAATTAGTTTTTTTTCATTTGTAACTATTAAAGTTGTATTTTAAATGATGATTGGCGAGTGAAAATTAGATTTTTTATTGTTTATACCTTTTTGTAACGTATAGATTTCAGTTTTTAGAATTGGAAAAATTTAAATAATTAAATTGAAAAGAAAAAACATAGATTCCACCAGTGATGGAACTATCTCCCCCTCTGATTTTTATGGAACTTCGTATGTTTGTTAAGCAGTCAAAAATAAGGGATACGTATTTTTTTTATCGGCTGAGACGCGACTTTAAGGGGTGAAACCACCCCTCGAAGTTTCGACCCGGAAGTACTATCTCGAAAACCAGAGGAATTATATCTGATCATTTACATATTTTCGTAACTTAATGTACTCTTTGTTCATATATTCTATATATATATAATGTTCATTCACTCGTACGTGTTCAGCTACTGGTGCATCCACCCCATTCATGAAACTGAATTACGTTTAAAATACCACGAACGCGCACTATCAAACGGCAACCTCCGGTCCGTACTGGTTCGCGCGTTTATTCTTCAATCTACTAATTCATTTCCAATAAAATCGTTACGGAAGCATTATACAACGTGTATAAATAATAGTCGTACAGACAGTAGAAAAATTAGTCCGTAACGAAGCTCGTACACTGCTCAAAAAAAAAAAAAAAAAAATGAACGGATCGTTATTAAATGAATTAATGATGTTATTATTGAATTAAATGAATTCTGAGCAGCGTACGAGCCACGAACATTATACGCACCGAGTATAGTGGAAAATTGTGAATATCCTTTTGGAGGGTAAGGAGCACGAACAGCTACAAGACTGAGGAAACCCAATCTTCCCTGTGCAGTGTGAACACGGCGTTCAGCACCTTGAGAACATTAATACCGACGGAACCCGCGGATAGGAAATTATCGAAAATCGAGACACTGCGATTAGCCAGCAGTTACATCAGCCATTTAGGGGCCGTCCTCGTCGCGGGGTCTATAGATCAACCCTGTTTACGCGTTGAGGACACGGACGGTGTTTATGGGGCGAGCGATTGGGCCGATTCGCAAGCACGACCGCAAGTTTGCACTTTTTGCCTCGCTATGCACAAGAAATACGTAAGTGTGTCTCATGTTCCAGGAAATAACTAGGTGCGATACTGTGTGTAAACTCTTAACACAAGAACTACCGAATCCGTCGAAACGACAAATTTCTTATTTTACTGTTACTGAAATTGTAATGATTTATTTATCTATTTACACTGGTAGGTAATAACCCTTTGGTGTACAGATTACAGAGAAAAAAGTCATTTTGGTGTACAGAAAGAATGGACGTTATTGGTTTAGTATTTGAATAAGAGATCGCTTAAATTCACAAGGTGTGTCCGCAAATATCAAGGTTGAGTATAGGTGTTGGATATTATACAGTGACGGTTAATATTTTTGGCAGAATTTTTGCTGACTTTTAATTTACTACACATTCTATGTTATGCTATATGTATTAGTACATAGTAGTATATAAATTAGTACACATTCAATTTAGGTAGTTCTAGTGTTAAACAAGAAAGGAGAATTTCATGCTTTTCCTTTGATTATTTTCTCGATGAAAGTTACTCTATACCAGTGTTGTTTCCTTTCTTTTTTTATCGTTTATACACAAATACGAATCATTTGGTATTTTGCCGTGTGTGTGTGTGTGTGCGTGTGTTGCCATTTCCTTATTTATTTTCAGAGCTGGAACATCGCCTCCAAAGTGATTTCGGATTATCGAAGCCCTGAGGGATCACCTTATGTTTTTCCGACAAGTTCGACGACGTATTTCGATTTAAGCAATCTGTAAATCCTCTACACTCTGTATATATAAAATAATTCTCTGTACATTTCCTGTATATACATATGTATGTTTAATAAATGTTTACGTTCGTACACATGTATCAACCGTATATATGCATGATTTTTATAGTTTCAGTTGTGTCGGGGTCGACCAGTGAATTTACAACGTTGGATAAAATATTCTGCTCGAATTTTATTTTCGCCCACAAAAAAAAAAGTATCTAAATGAAAGCCTACGTTCACGTGTATTTATCTTCTGTCATTTTTCTCGTAACATTCGAACATCGAATGGCCGTAAAATGATGAGTACAACCGTACTCAGAATAGCGAAATAATATTTCATCGTTAATAATATATTCTAACCGAGACCGATGTGTCTCTGTGGCGAAATAAAAATTAATCTTTTCAATTATCGATTATATTCGCAACAACGAATTAGAGAGGAGAAAAAAATTAATTTATTGATGGTATCGATAAAACGATAGACGTTGCGATGACCAGTGCAGTACGGCGGCGAATGTTTCAGTCTTTCGAAGTCAACAATGCTGTGAGGAAGCTCATTTTCGTTTTTCCCTCCGTTCTCGTTCGTCGTTACAATTTCAGTGTTTTTATTCGATTATCCATTGCGAGATAGCCCATAAGTAATCATGCTCGCCGCCGAGAGGTTGTTCCACGTATCTCTCTATAGCCGGAATTAGGTAAGCTTTCCAGAACAAAAAGAAACATTTCTCATGCGAACCATAGTAACCACGACTAATCACCGCCATTGTGACAAAACGGGGAATTCAAGACTCTCGGTATCTTTTGAACACACGTAAGCTGTTAAGCACCAATTAGAAATATCAGCGTGACAGCATTATTCCATTAATAAATACACATTGTAAAGCTATATCAGGTAATCGCTTGTCTACGTATCCATCAATCTTCCTGCACATCCTATATTAAAAAATAAGTTTCCCTAGTGTAGGGCAAAAGCAAATTTAAACGTCGTGTTCGCGCTTGAGAAAATTCGGTACTACGCAGCTGATACATTATGTTCGTTTAAAAAGGGTACCGATATAATTGTTATATTTCGTTCAGTTCGCATTACATGTTAAAATAAAAGAGTCCCAAAGATTTCCGTCTTTACTGTGACATGTCGACGAATGATTGTACGTGGGCTTTAACGCCTGTGGAACAGTAGGACGGTATCGAGAATTTAAAATCGGGAAAATTAGCGCCCTGAACGGCGCGTATGACCGCCATCTTGTAAAAGTGTCTCTGTAGTGTTTGGAGGTTTAGCGAGAAGGAACAGCAGCTTTGCCGGAGGCTGGAAGTCCTTTTGGAGTGGTTGCAACGGTCCTTGGCAGTCCCTGGGCACCCAGGTGACCTCGTGCGAGGCCAGGGTACCTTCAAGCTGCTAGGACAACCCGACGGCCAGGAAACACATTTACACGCCCGACTCTCGCGAAGATGGTGAGCACTCTCTTGCACGTACATTTTCCATTTAACCCTCTGTGAAATTTGTATTTCCATCGAGACAACGTAATTTCTCGTCGACACGACGTTTCGTACGCGCTACTTCGAGCTGGGAAACGTTGTCCCCACGAGACGTTCACGAAACTTTAACCTGTATCGATGCCTCGTATTCTCGGTGTGTCGGAAAGACAGCTCTCACTTGTCAATATTTTTGTTAGGTTGGTGTATGCAAGGTGTCGTTTTGCTTGGGGTTTGATAACACGAGTCAAACGACATTTATTTGTGAATCGTTGTTACACATATTCCGTGGCAAGATGTTTCTTGCAATGTACGCGGGTATTAGTTCGAAGAAAGATTTACTGTTTGCTGTGACTGTTTTTTTTCTTTGTTATTTTACAATATAAGTAATAGTACGGCAGTGTTAGCAGTGACTGAAGCAATAACGTGTAGCAACATGTAGAGGCATATGTGGATGAAATAATAGATCAAAGAATTAGTATTGAATATTAACAAATATTAGAAAGGTTTTATCATGACAAATGTGCCGGTCATTTGTATTTACTTGGTCTGTACAAGCTTCATTTTTTGGATTGTTGTATTTGTATTGAATGCTCAGCAGTATTGGTTAATGTTAGTCGTATTGTTTAGAGTTCGGCATCGACTGGTGGAACTGAGGGCTCTAGTCCAGCCTCTAGCCCTGCCTCGGCTACAAGTCTCACAATGGCTGCTCCAAAGTATGGTACGCTGGTACCAAACCGCATCTTTGTAGGCGGTATCTCCGCGAATACCAGTGTAGAAGAACTTGCTCAACTTTTTTCCTCCTATGGCAACGTAAAGGCTACAAAAATAATTGCAGATCGCGCGGGGGTTTCCAAAGGTTATGGATTTGTTACATTTGAAACCGAAGAAGAAGCTAAAAGACTTCAACAAGAGGTTTGTAACTTGTTAGGAATATTAAACCCTTCGACCTGACGGACGTACAGCGTATGTTCGTACGGAGCTACGAATCTTAATGTTTTTCTTTAATACAAAAAGCTCAATTTCTAAGGTCGGAGAGGTTAAATCTGCATTTTTGCTGGAAAGGTAAACAGACACCGTATTGTTAATATTATTGTTTCCGTTGTAGTCTGAATGCATTGTCTTGAGAGAGAGAAAATTAAACATCGCGCCAGCGATTAAGAAGCAACCATTTAATAGATCTTTTGATGGTGGTTCTGGATCTCCACCCTCTGTGCCTACTAGTACTTACTATTATCCGAGCGGTTGGTATAAATTTCTTCAGAATTATAACGATTTTAATGTATTCTTATTCTGGTACCATCCAATTTCAGGAATGGGGCTTGCGTATCAAAATGGGATGGCATTTTACAACACATCAGCTCCTGCGCCAACGACACAAATTGCTCCGCCAACCGATCCGGCAGCACTTTATCAGACCACAGGCGTGTTTGGTAAACTATATAGAAAATTCTGTCAGTATTCTGATAAACTGTAAGCTATATTAAAAATGGAAATTCGAACGATTAGGACCCCAAGCAGCCGGTCATCAAACTTTTGCGCCTGTGATGTATCCGTGTCCTGCTCCGTCTCTCTACATGCCGCAGCAGTATCCGTATTCACCTATCCCTGTAAGTAAAACGTGAAATAAGTATTGTATTGGAATCTCTATCTCCGACACTCTCCCCCACCCCTTTAATCTTGGGTCCCACGTACATCTTACCATATGATTTGTCTACGGGTATAGCTTGTATTTATATTAAACGGTAAATCGGTTGCGGTTTGACAGACAAATGGTTTGATGGGAGAAGCCATACCACCGGCGTTTCTACCCAACCCTCAGCAAATGCCTACTTACGTCCTTCTCGACGCTATACAGTATTGAGGTCTAAAGGTACATGGTCTATGCTAAACGACTAGCATGCAGCACATCATCCTTGTGCGTTTTCTTTGTCAGTCTTTTGCATGGCCTACCGATGCATGCGCATCTCACTTTCTTTCATAATCCATTACTTCTGATTAATAGCTCCTCATATGTGTTTTATGCACAAGTTTGTACATTCTACACGTTCCATCCACACTCATCGAATACGTGTATATATATATAGATATGTACATATCTTATGCTTATATCAACCAGAGTTTTTATTTATTAGAGAACGAAAAATATTGTTTTTCGACAGCACGTGTGTCTCTCACAGTGCAATGTTTCTGTTACATTCGTTCGCATTATTATTTTCTAGCAGCATTTCTGTGTCGCCTCATAGCAGAGAATACGAACTAGCGTATTCGCATGAAAACACATTAGACGCTGTGCATAATCACACAAATCCCCTTGGAAGTTATTCGATCTCTTTTTAGTCGCGCAATAGTTCTGTCTGACAAAACATTTATTATAGACCAAACACGCACGTATGTATATTAATCGTTACACGTGTATACTTGTACGATAGGCATGCGCATAAAGATTAAAAGTCGAGTCAAGGTAAAGTATATAATGTCCGAGCGTGTATCGGGAACTACCGACTTTCATAGCATGTACATACGTTCACCTTAGTACTTGAAAACCGAGATTGATCTCTAATCCGACAGAAGCGAATAGCAAAAGAAAGAATCGCGCTTAGAGGGAATCTCGTTGGTGATATCCTGAGAGAGCCTTTGGTTGCATAAATTAGACTTATACACACACTGTTCCATTTTACATTTTTATTTTTTTGTTCGACCGATCACGCCCAGGGGAACAGACACGTCTGACCGTAGAATTACTTTTTTCTGTGCAGTACGAGACGTATTATGCAGCAGGGGCAGCCGCTGCCGGCGCTCCCCAGTACTTGTACCCGACCAGCGGTTCGCAGAGCAACACCAGCGGCGGTAACAACAATTCCGGAAGCGGCAACAACGGCACAGGGGCATCCAGTCCACAGACAGGACCGCCACAGCCGCTTCCCTCGTTACCACCGCCGCCGCCCACGCATTTTTACGCCCCTGCTGCCCCGCCGCCGCATCATCATCAACCAGTACCTGCCGGTCCACCGCCGCAGCAGGTCGATCATCTTTACTATCCGTTCGCGGCCGGCCACCATCAACCACCGCCACAGCACGCGCCCATGGGAATGACCGATCAGCAGTTGTTGCTTTACCCAGCGGACACCTCGTGCCAGCAAACGTCCTCGTCCGACGGTCAGACCGTTCCCCAGGAGGTAAGTCAACCTGTGTACATGTGTGACCAGTTTTCATTTGATGGGGACACTATAGATTTTCAGACGTCGTTATCTCCTCGAAACAAATCTTAATTTTCTTGATTTCGCCACTGACGAGGTATAGGAGTGGAAATTTCATCCAATGTATTTTTACGGCCCACTTTTCTAGGGTTGCGTGACCCCATTTCCATTTTAGTGTCACCACTCACCGCAAATTCACCGTTCTCATCACGTAGAGGTCGCTAAAATTACAGGCTTTTTAAGGTGTCGGTGCACTACAGTTTAGGTGGGCCAAAGGGGGATGAAAAGTCTATTTTTATACATCGTCGGTGATCTCGCCCTCGATACTGGGCAGGTTATACACACGCTTTATTGTTTTTTCCTTCGCTATATACGGCTTCCATTGTTTTCCTCTTCAAAAAACCTATGTTACCGATTCAAAGATACACAAGGTGTTTTCGATGGTCAGTCGTGCGACACGTGTAAAGAGAGACGACGTTGTTCGACGGTACTCTCCGTTCGGTTACACGAGTACTCTATTAGAAAGGCAATATCAAACATATGTGTGCAATGAACTCGTAGGATTCACGTTCGACATCGAGCCACTCGGAGCAACCGCACGGTGACACACAACCTGGCACAGGGTCAGCGACACCTTTGGTCTCCTTAATGCCCGTGAAATTCCCAATGTCTGGTCGTTACGGGAACTACCATCCGATCGCAATACACGCCGCGAACATGTACAATTCACAGTCTTGTCTGAACGAGACCGAGGACTGCGGGACGGCGAATCAGATGCAGTGCCGGGCGATCGTTTACCATCCGGCGGCGGTTTATATTCCACACGCGCACACAACGCCGCAGTATCACAACGCCACAGGTGGCGCTAGCTTGTTACCGACACCTGCCTCTGTCTCGCAGCAGATATACGACGCGTCTAGCAAAAGTCCGAGTTACAGTTCGGCCCGTGAATACACGAAATCGGGTCCTGCGAACGGGCATAATCAGACCGGTTACACGAAAGCGTCATCGACCCAGAGCCACGGGTTCGCGTTGTCGCATCAGGCCGCGACGTTCGTTAAAGCACAAAATCTCGGTAACACGCAATACAAGCAGCACACCAACATGGAGACGGGTTACAAGTACACATCGGCCGCGATGGCGACTCGATTCTCGATGCCACACAATCGACGAACGGCTGGCGGTACGACCGTGGGCTCACCGGCTTGTTACCTGACGCAAAAGACCGACGGCTACGGTCCACAAAGCCAGACTGGCGTGCAGAGGTCCGTTAATTACCCGTCGAACGTCCAATCGTACACTCCCGGTTACGCGAGCTCGCAATCGAAAATGTACACGAGCTTCGAGTACGCGAACGGCGGCCGTAGAAATAATCACTCGACGGACCAGTATTTCGACAACAACACTGCGGTCCGATCGAGCAATTATTCCGCACGGAAGAACAGCTATCGCAGCAACAACGGTCAAACCGAGGGGAATGTATCTAGCGGTCGATCTAACGAGAATTACAATAATCCAATCGAGGGGGAGGGTAATAACGGTTCCCAGGGTGTACATCAGGTGGTCACCGGTGAGACCAGTGGTAATAATACGGAGAAGCCGGTTAGCCCACCACCAGCCCCGTATTCTCCCATGACACGACCGCTTCCTACTTTGTCACCGCCCACCTCCTCCCAGGTCTCGACGTTCTGTGCCCCGGCGCAAAACCGTTATCAGCCATCCTTAGCCCCGTCCCAGCACCAGCAACAGCAGTCCAGCCAGCAACGACGATACAGCATCGCTCCATCGACGACATTGTCGACGGGTGGTCGGAAGCCAGCAGAGAAATACACCAGTTCCGGGTCGACGCAGAGCAGCAGCAGCAGTTCGATACTCAGGCAGAACAAGTACAAGGTGAACGGGATCATGCAGACGGGCGGTAAGGTGTCTGAAGACAGTCTTGGTGGCGCTGGTGACGCTCCGCCAGGGGTCGGAAGAATGCCGATCACGCCACCTGGGACACCGAGGGCTCATCCAGGACATCCAGCGGGGGATCAGAATCAGCTGAGCGACACGTGCCATCAGATGCAAGCGCTGACCCTTTGAGAACGCTTCCCCCATCCCCCCTTCCCCCCACACCCCCGATATTTGCGTTCGCTGG